TGATGTTTTTAGCTAAAATTTTTTGATCTAAACGAGCCCTCAATGCTTCAGTTGGCTTGAAAAAGAAAAAGAACCCTAAAACGATTGACCAAAACAGCACTACAGAAGAAATTAAAGGTGGTTTTGATCTAATCAGCTAATTCCTTTTTCTAATAAATGGAAATCTAATCAGCTGGAGTAATAATTGTGCTGGTCGATGAATCCCCAGCTGTTCTCTGCAAGACATGTACAAGCCAAAGTAGAACCCATCTTGATTTTTTCTGCAGATGCAAGATAAGAGTAGGCAGGATCGATCGACCAGCTGATCCGGAAGCTGCCGCGGCGTAGGCTAGCTGTACAGACAGTGCGTGCCGTGCAGAGGAGATAGCCAAGCGGACCCTCTACATGGTGCAGGAGTACTACCTACGTGGATCTAATGCCCAGACTTCTTGTCATTCGATCGTGTGATCTGCCCAGACATGCTTATGCACTCGCAGTCTTCTTTGTTCGCCCTGTACTACTACACTACTCCCATTTCAGAGCATATATTTAGATCCTCTAGCAAATTTTTTTAGCATATCACATCGAATATTTGGACACATATATAGAGTATTAAATATAAATTAAAAAACTAATTAAATTATATGTAATAAATTGCGAGACGAATATTTTAAGCCTAATTGCTCCATGATTTGATAATGTAATGCTCCAGTAAATATTTGCTAATGACGGATTAATTAGGCTTAATAAATTCATCTCGCAATTTGCAGGCAGAATCTGTAATTTGTTTTATTATTAGTCTACGTTTAATGCGAAAGGGCATGTAGCCTAGTAGTTGCAATGACCTGAGTAGCATCCCAAGGTCCTGAGTTCAAATCTCCATATGAGCGAATTTCAGATTGGGTTATTTGAAGGCTAAGTTCCTAAAATAAGCCAAAATGGCTACATATATCCGGTTGGATATATTATTTCAGATTGGATTATTTGAGAGCTAAGTTCCCTATTTGATATGCTAAATTCCTAAAATCAAAATGGCTGCATATATCCAGTTGGATATAGAGGCCGGACAAAAAAAAATACCCTTCTCTAAAAAAATAGTCTACGTTTAATACTTTAAATGCCTTACGGCGTGCATGTTTAATTCGATTTACCACACATAGACACACCGTACTCCAGTTCAAACCTGTGTTAGTTTTTCAAACTTCAAAGTTCAAGAATACTAGTAGTGGTCACCTGTTGTAGTAGTATACTAGTACCACGCATACATGATCACACATTTGAAGTATTAAATATAGACTAATAACAAAACAAATTATAGATTCCGCCTGTAAACTGCGAGACGAATCTATTAAGCCTAATTAATCTGTCATTAGCAAATGTTTACCGTAGCACCACATTGTCAAATCATGGCGTAACTAGGCTTAAAAGATTCGTCTCGCAATTTATATATAAACTGTGCAATTGGTTTTTTTCGTCCACATTTAATGCTTTATTTATGTGTTCAAATATTTGATGTGGCAGAAAAGTTGAAAGTTTGTAGGAAAATAAAACCCAGCTAGTTCTTGCAAACATTGTGCTAGGATAGGACAGATTACAAACAGCAACCTTTTTTTCTTCTTCTTTTGCTCTTTTGGCGCAGGGTACGCTGCTTCTTCTGCTAGACAGACTGCTACGTGCTACCACTACACAGCTGGGCCCCGTTCCTCTCGCGGAGGCGGAAACGACCGCCACGCGAGCGAGCAGCGGAGAGCGGAGAGCAGAGATGCTTGCCGTTTGCGGCTAGAGACCGAGCGAGCAATTCAAGCTTTTCCCTTACCACCACGCACCCATGCCTACACGTGGCTTGTCCCCAAAATTTAACAAATTTATCCTTTTAAAATACTTAATTCAAAACTAGCACAATTTTATTTAGAAATTGATCCCCCAAAAATACAAGATCTTAGTGCCAACCGCCCTTAGGCCCTGTTTGGATCTATAGACTAAATTTTAGTCCCTGTCAAATAGAATGTTTGGCCACTAATTAGAAATATTAAACGTAGACTAATGACAAAACCCATTCCATAACCCTGGACTAATTCGCGAGACAAATTTATTGAGCCTAATTAATCAATGATTAGCCTATGTGATGCTACAATAAATATGTGCTAATTATGGATTAATTAGGTTTAAAAAATTTGTCTTGCGGATTAGCTCTTATTTATGCAATTAGTTTTATTATTAGTATACGTTTAATACTTCTAATTAGTGTCAAACATCCAATGTGACAGTGACTAAAATTTAGTCTCTGAATCCAAACACCACCTTAGTGCTGAAGCACCCAATATCAACAACAGTGACATGACACCACGGTGCCTAACCTGATCGCGCCAGTGACGGGCGCTAAGGTTGGAGACTTAGCTACGCGCCAATGGCTCGTGAAACACAACTCCTATGTTGGGTGGCACCGAGGTGCCCAACCTCAACACCATTATGCTTGCGCCTAGGTTGTCAACCTCAACGCCAACCATTTTTACATTGAGGTTCTAGATCTAGCTTGGTTCCAGAAAGCTCTCCACTTAAGTATCCGAGCACATACCGTAAACAACAAATACCCTCTCCACATCTCACAAGTCACAAACATCAACAAATGCTAAAATATAAGCCATCTCATCATAAACGTATCAAACACAATCTCAAGTCAAATGCGATGAACCTTATACCAACTCAATCCCTATGAAATCAGGGTTTTAGAAGGAGTTTGCGTTGTAAATCGATCTTCAACTCAATCCTCGCGAAGGTGTATGGCGCTGAGGTCCTATCACGACGGCGAGTCGGGTGTCACATGGGCTAGGGGTCACGACTAACCTTTTTTGTGCTGATCCATACGACCTTGGTACCGAGGTGGTTGATGTAAGGAAAATTTTTTAAGTGGTCTAATTTTGAAACAAGTTTTTTAAAAGGACCAGTTTATCAAAATTTCGGTGGTTTGTCCTGGAGCGCTCACACGCAGAGGGGGAGGATGAGAGATGCGTGTGTCCGGTGGGCGCGGCCGATGCGGGCGTGTCAGGTCAGGTGGGCCCGATGGGAAGCGACACGCTCGAAGCGGTGTTTCTTCCGTTGGTGTGCAAGCGCGTCTCATCAGACACGCACGCAGAGCGCGCGTGGGTTGGGGGACCGGGGTTACCGGTGTGGTAACCTTACCAACCACGCTGCCACCGTACGTACGGACTACTACGCAGGCAATGCATGCAAGGTGTACTTGATCACCAATCAGAAATTCGATCAGATATTCCCAGGTTAACCCCACACCTACCCACCTACCCACCTACCCCTACCACACATCAGTGATCAGTCAAGAAAAAACACTCCAGTACAGTGCATGGTTAACCATTTAACCCAACCCGGGTTTGGTTTGGCCACACAGCCGCGCGCGAAAGAGCTAGAGATACGATTAGAAAAGAAAAAAGAAGTAGTAGTAGAAGAAGAAAAACAAAAAGGAAAAAAGCGATGTATGCAGCGTTGTTTAGGTTGCTCTACCTTTTGCTTTTTACTTTTGGGGGCGCTGATCGCGATGGAGATGCAGTGCATGCATGACCGGCCGCTTGGACGCATTTGCATGTATGCAACGCAGTATCGTACGTCTCGATCGCTAGAGCTAAAGCTGCCTTTAATTAATTTCGCCGGAATTAATGGCAGCTGCAACGGCCGGTCTGTCATATGCGATCTGTGCAGAGAGACCAAGAGCTAGCGATCCAAACTTCGAACGCATGCAACGTCTAGTTAGCACGCCCATACATGCATGAGTTCGCTATGGTTTCTCAATTTTAGTTAGTAACTAATTACTCCCAGTAATCTCTACTAGATGGCTAGCGAGAAAGATGTAATAACGTGTGCATGCATGCGGTGCATGTGTGGAGGGTTAATTAATTAATTGGCCGGTGCCGGTGATGAACTGATGATGAGACCGATATTCTTTAATTAGTTTGATAAGTACACATGAACATAATGTGTGTGTGTGTATCCATGCATGCATGCATGGCCGATCGCTTTTATGTTACTACAATATTGTACACTTGTACAAGGCATATATTAAGGCGCGTGTCAAAGAAATTTTCATCGTTCCCCTCCCCTAGTAGTAGTAGTAGAAGAAGAATAAGATATTTTCATCGTATGTGACACGTACGGTACGTGCAGCTGTGCATATGCTGCCATGCATACATGGGTTCATGTAGAAGAGACTACACCTAGCAATTAATCGTGCCAGACCGTATCTTTATTCTTTCCGATTCATCTTGGAATGGAGTGCCTTCGTCGTTTCAGCCAGTTTAAATTTTTGCCCACACTGCTCCACACACTTTGTCCTGCCCCTGCCTAAAGGATGCATTGGCATATATCAGTATATATATCACACAAAAGAAAATGCCAATTATCAAACATATATTGCGAGATCTATTAGATAATATCCGTGGATAGATAATTAGCAGCAGCTAGCTAGCCAGCTTTGTGGTTAGTACACATATAATTTGTTTGACAGAACAAAACTAAGTAATTAATTTTGATAAATTAAATATGGTAACCACTGTACGTCTTCTGTATTTTATTAGTCAATTATATGAATTTACACTGTGATATTTTATTTTTACAGTGACAAATTGTATATGGGGTGCTGTTTTTATAACAGATGGGGCCCATGACATGAGAAAGATGCTAGTACGTTTTTTATGCTTTAGGTAACATGCTTTAAATAACAGCTAGTGTTTGATTCAGGGGTTGAAAAAACAATTAATCGAAAACCACTCGATTAATCGGCCAGATTAACTACCCCTATTAAACTTAATTAATCGCATGATCCATTTCAAAACCTGGTAACAAGTTTTGAACACCTTAATCATCATTCATAATCATCACTCTTCCCTACATAAAAAGAATACAGTCACCGCGAGTGGTAAGATTACCTCGGTCCCCATCTGCCCCTCTCGATCACCTGTCTAGGGTTTCTAGAATCTAGTTAACCTCAAGAAAAGCAAGCACTACGACTCCCCCTTCCTTTCTTCCAGCCTCGCCTCGCGCTCACCTCATCACCTCTGGGTTTTTTCTTCCTTGGCCTCTCTTACCATGGCTTGCCATGTCCTTCTCCTCTAGTAGTCTAGTTTACCCCCACCCTCGCGCTAGTTCCTCTCTGCTTTTACCTTCACCCCCTTCTCTGCCATGGCCTACGACCGAGGAGGGGGCCGTGGCGAGCAGCAGCCGCGGTACGGCGACCCTGCAGGCTGCTCCGCGCCCGGGGAAGGAGGCGGCGGCGAACCCATGGCGCCGTATCGTCCCACTGCCACCGGCTTCGTCTGGGCGCCGCTGCGCATGTCGGGCCGTCCACAGCAGCACGAGCCCCCGCCGATGGTCGACGTCGTCGTCTACTACGGAGCAAGGGCGGCCATCCCGGCGCCGCACGATCAGGCCGCGTACGAGCTCGGCGGCGCGGTCCTGTGGCGATCGGCTCCTCTCATGGAGGAGTCCACGCTGCCTCCACCCGCTGCGGCTGGTGGCGAGGCGGTGGCGGTGGCGGCGTCGGACATCGATCCGGTGCGGCCGGGCTGTGGGGCGTCCAATGGGAAGAAGGTGATGATCGAGGAGAACGACCTCTTCTGTGACGTGAGCTCCTCCTCCTCCTCCTCCTCCCCCTCCTCATCCTCCTCCTCCTCATCATCCTCCAGATCTACGTATGCTGCCTTCTCCTCGATCGATCCAGTTGTAGATGTTGCCGCGCGCTGTCTAGTAGCACTCTGCAGATCTGGTTTTGCACGTTGGTTTTTGAGTGGTTTTTGCAGTTTCTCATGCTAGCTAGTGGCTGATTTCGTAAGTTTTTGCGACGTACGGTGCGATGATCCAACGACGCTTCCGATCTCATCCTTGTGGGTGTTTATGGCCGGAACTAGCGTTCGTATGACGGATTAATCTCTCGCGTTTTGTTTCAAGTTATTTTTTCCTCCGTTTTTTTATCTGTCTGCCTCTTCTTAATTTGGTCATTCTACTTCGGTTCCTCCAGTTGCATGCAGTCTCGTGACATGCATGACGCATGCATGTACTGCTGCTCAATACGCACAGGCAGTCAGGCATGCTTGCCCTTTTTTTTTTCTCTCTTTTTCCAAAACTTTTGCCATTGTATCAAAGTTACAGAGCTTGATATCTCCCTTTTGCGGGAGCTTGGTTGGGTTTGGTTTTGGAAACAAATTAAGCTTCTCGTTGAATCCACTCTTGCATCGCTTGTTCCTACTTCTTCGTGTGTGTGTTTTTTTGTTCATCTTTTTTTGACTCGTTCATTGTTTCTGGAGATTACCGCTTTGGGTAAACTGAAGCCTTAAATGGGAGTGAGCATCTTTAGTAGTACAGTATACTAGTATTGCTGTTTGTTCGAGCTTTTATTTTCCTGGTTGACTTGTTTATTGACTACTAGTATTGGATAGCTAGCTATCCTTTTTCTGCAGGCAACTTTTAGATTGATTCTTGCTTGTTTATAGAAGTGGGGCAGCGGGTAGCCCACCTCTGTTTTTTTTTTGTTTGTGTGTGAGGCTAGATTGCCGTCTTTTATTAGAGGCCTAATGGCCCGAATCGATGTGTTCTAATGTTTTGGCAAAATTTACGAATTTTTTTCGTTTCTCGGGAGAAGTCGTACTCACAGCAACAAATTTGTTGCAAAATATTACTGGTATAGTCGATAAGACTTGTGACTATATGGCTTGATCAAGGTATTTTGGTCCGTTACGTACGTCGTTTAGTTTCTTCGGGATGTTTCTTTTTTTTTTAAAGAAAAAAACCTTCCATCGTGTTTCGTTTGCTGTGCTTCTTTTAAGCTTGTTTTATCTGCATTTAGCCTGGCCAACTCGATCTCCATGGTGTCTGTTAATTTAGACGAATTGGATAAACTGCTTGCTTGCCGTACAATCTTGATTTGGAGATCTTCCTGGCCAACATAATTGACTTTGTTTTTAAATAATGGTGGTTTTAAATTTGTTTAAAGTTTGATCTTCAACCAGAAAATAACGGTTTAAATAAATTTATTTTTGTACTTGTTTAATACGGGCTCTCTGTTTCTGGGCTTTAAAGATGATGGGTACTGATTTCTGAGCTGTATAGGTAGCCTAGCGGCCTTTTAATCTTCATTTTTTTTTTCCTATTTGACCGCAGTTCTTATCGGCTTTGACGGGCCTTCCATCATCGTCTGCTCTCCTCAATCCTCCCCCACTCCTTGGGTAAATCGTTAGCCTAGCCGCCACCCGTACTGAGCGCTCCGCCATGGCGCTCGTCTGAACTTCCCCTTTAGCGCCCGCCATGGCCTGCCGCCCCATGTGAGTAATGCGGTTATGTGTAGCAGGGTAGTTTTTTCCTATTGCTGGAGAAGATCCTCCACTTAAATGGAGAAAATCGACGGGGAGATCGCTCTTTTGTTGCTGGATTTCTGTTTATTCCGATCTGTTAGACTGCTAGTCCCTAAATAGGTGTAGCTTTCGTTTCTGGGCATTCTATTTTTCATGGTTGCGGCGTCACTTTCATATCTCTTTCACCCATGAATCGACTCCGATAGTGTGTGTTACTCGTAACCTGTACTACTGCATTTCCATTACATCTAGATAATCAGAACCGCCACTCAAGTTTCAGTAGTTTGGTCTTGTAATGGTGGTTCTAATTCTGTTGGTTGACTGCTCTCTGAAATTAATTTTATTCGTTTAGTTATTATTATGTGATCTTGAGGTGTAGGTTCATGACTTCATGTTAAGTAGCTCCAAATTATTCTTCATTCCCCCCTCCTCCCCCTGAAAATCTTGTTCTGAATTCCAATAGAAAAGTTATTCTTCCTTTTTCCCCTGAAAATTTCGTTCTGAATTCCCAATAAAAAGGTTATAAATTTATATGCATGAAGTTCATCGAGTTGTTCTGAAAATCTTACAGTTCGTTATCAATACAAAGACTACTTCAAGTCAAACAAGCAGGATTCTACCTGATGAGCTCATCAAGTTGCACGGGTTCACAACTCTTGGTGGCAAACGGCCAGCATATGACGGAAGAGAGAGTCTCTATACCAATGGTTCACTTCCTTTTGAATCAAAGGAGTCTGTGGTCAAAGTATTTGATCCAGAAAAGAATGCTAAAGAAAGGTTTGTGTGATTCTAGCTAAGAATTTTCTTATGTACCGAGCTACATGTTTCTCAATATTAGATTATTATGTCTTGCCCTTCTGCAGGGCGCAAAAGGAATTTAAGATCACAATTGAAATTGTTGGCAAAACAAACTTGTACCACCTCCAGCGCTTTCTGCTCGGAAAGCACAGGGGCATAGCCCAAGAAATCATCCATGTTTTTGATGTTATCCTCAGTGATAAACTTTCTCGGAAGTATGAGATCTTTCTCATTTGACATTTGATTGATAACTTCTTGACCAGGGTATTGACAATGTTGTAAATACAATTACCTTTTTTGCAGTCATGTCACAGGGCCCAGATCCTTTCTTTGTACTCAGATTGGTCACCAGGGTTACATTGGTGATGGACTTGACTCTTGGAGAGGTTACCATCAAAGCTTGCGCCTGAGAAAGATAGGGATTTCACTCAATACGGGTACTTCCGTTCAGTTATTGCTTATTAGTTTTCACTGAATATAAATATTATTCCCTCTGGTCATAACTATTTGATGTTAGGACAATATTTGATGAAACTTTAACCATCAATAACTTCTAAAAAAACAAAAAAAATGGTATGTGTAATGCCTTAAAAAAGCTATCAGAAAATTATTCTAATACAAAATTTATGGTCAAAATTTCAAAAGTTTGACCAAATCTTGACCTAAATGTTAAATATTTGTGACTGGAGGGAATATTTAGATACTAACTACCGTTTTTGATCTACTTCATTCAGATATGTCTGCAGCATCCTTTATGCCTGTGAGAATTATCCAAATTATAGATGGGTTCCTGAACATAAGTTACACCTCAAGACCTTTGTTAGAGCGGAACCGTGTGCAGGTAATATTCCTACCGAGGGAATTTACAAAATGTGCTATATAATACCTATAATGACTAACATTCTTTTTTCAACATGTTCAGCTAAAGAAAGTATTATGTCATGTTTGCATTGAAACAAACCACCATGATGACCAAATCGGAAGATATAAGATAACAGGGATCACCCCTATTCCTATGAGCAATAACATGTAATTATCTTTCCTCTCACGGCTGCTGTTATAGCTTCTATTTTGTTTGCATGCTGTAAGCAATGGGGGCAAAAATGTACCAGATCGTTGATACTTGATATAATATTAGAAAGGTCTGTGTTAAGGATTCTGGGCATATTGGTACATTAACAGTATGTGGATTTTGGGCATTTTTTTTTCTGCCATAGATATTTTTTTCTTGAACATGCAGGTTCTGCCTTAGATATCTATCTGTGCAATTGAAAATCCATAACTATTCAATTGAAATACTGTGTAAATGATGCATTACAAACAATTTTTCCTGTCCGGATGGAGTATAGCAGTTTGTTGTCATCTTTTCAATAGGGCCTACATTTTGTTGTTATACTTGCTCACTTCTTTATAACATGAATAATTACTGTTTTATTCCTCCCAAACTGATGCCTGTTATTCGATGCTGTTAGATGTCCTGTTGGTGAGGAAGGAACAACAATGACTGTTCTTCAGTACTTCTGTGATATGGAGAAAACAGGTGTGCCTAGTGTTGGACATTGGAACATCGCTGAAGAGGTGATGACATGCTTCATTGTTATAACTCAGTTTCGCCCAAAACTCAAAATAACTTAGCATTGCTTTGTTGAAGCGAATTCATGGTTACTTGTTTAGCTTTTTTAATGTTTAGGCTCATAACTTTTGTTTTTTATGTGGGGATAGCCGAAGATGTCTGACCCTTTTTGTTTCAGGGTATGTTAAAATGACAAACCAGTTAACATATGTTGTATCTCTCTCATAAAGTCTTATTTGATATGTATGTAAAATTCGTGAAGATACAAATTGTAGTACTCAGCCAACATAATTTACTTGCAGATGCAAATTTGAGTTTTATTTAAAGGGAAGGCACTAATATTATAAGTTTCAGATCGTTCGTAGAAATATTTCTTAGTATTGTTACATTTTTTTTCTAATTGTTTATTTTTACAGAAAATCATTAATGGAGGAGCTTTGGATAATTGGACTTCTCTGAATCTTTCACGAATGCGCCCGGAGGAAGTACAAAGGTTCTGCAGCGACCTGATTCAGATGTGCAATGCCACTGGAATGGTAAGTCCTGCAAAGTTTTAAAGCATTCAAACGATTACAAATATTGCAATTGACTTTGATATATTTGTTAAAAAAAATGACTTTGATATCAACTCTGTAGTCCTTCTATCCAAGACCAGTTGTGGACTTCCGGTCATCACATCCTAACAACATACAGAATGCTCTGAGGGATGTTCACAGGCCAATGCATTCCTATGTTGATTGTGATGAGAATCATTTTTATGCTGATGCTCATTGCAACTGTACCGTGTCTGTGGGTGAGTTTTCTTTTGGTATCTTTGTTCTTCTCTTTTCTGGATTAATTTGCTTAAAGCTTCATATCCCTCTTTCCAAGAGCAAGGAAAATGGCACTACAAAAGTTTTTCACAATGGTTTAACCGCTAATTGGAAAGGATAAGCTTTGTTTTACAATCCCTACTCATCATGTTTACTGCAATATGCCTCAAATCGTCAAATGACGTCTTTTCAGTGAACTGAACTACTGCCATTTATTTGTTATGCACCATCATTATCATCATGTGATCTGTTCCATGACATTTGTCTATGAAATCTACTGAAGCATGTCAAATAGTTTTGATTGGTTGCCTCATTTCACCGATTCATACTAAATAGTGCGCTAATGAATCCCCTTCTTTTTGCCATTAGATTTTCCAATCGAATTGACTGTAAGACTCGTAAAGATCAACTTTATGAAGATCCCATTGTATTCCAGAAGCTCAGAACATAGGGCCCGATATGCCCCAATTACAGCTTATCCACTAATAATTCCAACCCCCTCAACTTGTTCTGAAAAATAGGATTCTGTGTCATTCCTGGCTGTATTTTTTCTTGTAATACACTAGTACTACAGTGCTAATTTTTGTACTGTTTTATGTCTTTGTTTCTTCATATTCAGATAACTAATTTGTTGAAACTGATGTGGGTTCCCCTTTTTCCCCTATACAGTCCCCTCATCATCGAACGACAAAGTTGCTGTGGAACAGGAGGAATTACAATTTGCCTCAACCCCTGGCAACAGTGGACAGGGCAAATTTCAGGTATGCTTGCTTCTGAGTCCTTTACATTTACAACATTCATAACTTGCATTTGATCCTCAAATGGTTTTCTTTGTTATATGTAGGTTGGTTTCCTGCTGAACAGACAGACGATACTAGTAGATACAGAAAATGACGACTCAGTTTCTGCTGTTATCCAGCAGGCAATTGAAAAGACAAATTATTGGCCAAAGGATGTGTATTACACATACTCCATGGGCATGATTGACAAAAAGAAGATGGTGAAGGAATCACATCTCTATAAAGGTTCTCTCATATTTGTCAATTCCAGAAGCCGGGGCGGTGGAGAGCCTCCTGCTGGTTGCGAGAGGTGTGTATTCCTATCTTTAGAACATATATATAGGATTGCTCACAGAACATCAATGTGACTCTTTTGTGTGTGTGTGTGACTACAGGATTGTTGATAGAATGATTAAGGCAAACAAAATTCCTCTACTGGATCATATCCATAGTGTGAAGGGGCATGATCCCTGGGCTGAATGGTTTGAGCGTGTGAACTTACCAAGATCCCTTTTAACATCTTCACAAGAATGGGGTGGTGTACTTTTGCAAGATGCAGCAGCTAAAGTTGGACAGATGTTGGCTCTCTGTCTGGAAAGGGCCCATTGTTCTGGGAAATGTTTTGGTGGCTTTGACATACGTGATGTCTATTATATAGAGTATTACCAGTTGATTGACATTAATGCCCCCATGACGGATTTCACAAGTAGAAGATATATAAATGATTGGTTATCGTTCAATAAGATTATTGATGACCACTTTAGATACACTGATCCAACCTCAGGTTATCTATCATATACACTGTACGTGGAAGATTTTATGTTCAGAATATCTTTACTTGAAGATGTGCCATCTACTGGACGTTCTTGGAGGGAAAGGGCTGTCTTTTTCAAGAATATCAGCCTTGAATCATCAGAGAGGAGAGTCCAGATTGTTGAAGGACTTGTGGGGTTTTATCGTGAAAGACTCACTTCAGACAGAGAATTATTCGAGGAGGTATTGCAGGATTGTGGCTATTGGAAAAGACAAACAAGAACGGTGCCTCGTATGATTTCTGCGTTGACATATTCTGTAAAGAATGAATTGCAGGACTGGGTACCTGCTAATCATTACTTTGAGAATTGTGGGTATTCCCAGCTTTATTTCTGTAGATGTTTCTTTGGACATTATACAGTACCAGGAAGGGTATGTGCACTTTCATGTTCTTTTCTCAGAAGTTATGGAACAATAGGTTTGTAGACATGTAACATTCATACTTGTTTGTTTAGATCACGAAGAAGGAACTGGATACAGCTGTAGGCATACTTTTGCCAGGTCATATCCCAAGGGCTCAAAAAAGACTGATGGTCAACTATGAGAAGACCCAAGTAGATGCTGCAGTATTGTCACCATCAGGAAATACTGCAAGGTTCAGTGTGCATCATATTTTTGGCATTGGTTCTGTTGGAAATGACCTGGCTCTCCCACAAATAAAAAAGGCTCTTCCTCCCTCGCAAAGAAAAAGGAAACAAACTTGTGACAAGTAAGGTAATGTGTTTTTCATGGTAATCAAATAGCACTAAATACTAGTAATTTACTTTATCATGATTTAAGTTTCTGCATGAATGTCGTTGTCTTTAGATACTAGTTTATTTTGTATTATAAAAACAGGGAATGATATAATTTTTATTTTTTTTTGTAAAATTTGGAGGGAACCTTTTAGGAATCTAACATTTGTATTGGTATATATATTGAACTGAAGTTATGATTGTTGCCAAGTTACGTTTGCTTTTAAACTTCACTTATCTTTCTAATGTGAACCAAATTTCTGATAGTAGTGTTCTATCTATAATCAGAAGGTCATGTGGTGCATTGTCTGGTACTCTGGTTCAGTTTTTTTTTTGTGTTGCATCTTTGTTTCTTGTCATTTTTGCATTAATATTCTTCTGTCTTGCCATGAGCAAGGAAAGGTATAAAAGTTTTTGGCAATGGTTTAGCTGTGAATTGGATAAAAAAAAACCTTATTTGCATATTATCTCAACAAAATAGAACTCCTTATTTAATTATCATGTTCTGAAATCGGTCTTTGTTTACTGTAATGCACCTCAGTCCGTCATGCGTGTGATCTGCTTTCAAAGTTAACTTAACTACTTTTCGTTGCTTATTACCTGTTCTTCATATTTGTTTTACAAATCTGCTGCCTTCAACTCCTATCATTTTGCTTCTCATGCTACCACGTTACTTTCTGGGAACTTGCAAGTGAACTGCCGAAATATTTTCTCTCCCTTGTTTTTTCCTTTTCATATTCAGATGCCTAAGTTGCTAAGTGATTGTCACCGCTGATTCAGTGCTTTTTTCCTGTCTGTGCAGTCTAACTAGCCTACTATACACATGTAGCTGCTTCTCTGCAAACTTCCCGTTGGTAGCAGAGAGCTCTGATGGCAGCAGCGGGCAAGCTGTGGAGGTGCGTTAACTTCCCAAAGATCAAAGGTTCCCAACTGCTTATATGATGAGATGTTGGCGATTCCCATAGAGATGTGGTTGATGAAGTTTAGTTGAAGATTCCCAACTGCTTATAAGACTTCTCTTGAACTGGTTGCTGGTAGTTTTTTTTTTGCTGCTCGTTGTAGTAGATTGTCAGTGAGCTTCTGTGGTATGCAAGGCACTCAGCTTGACACAATGCAACTATGCCAAGTATGTTAAGTTCCCAGTAGTTTTGTTATCTAACCTTTGTTCTCTGTATGATATTTGCCTCATCAGCTGCTCTGCTCAAAATGCTTCCTTTTATATTTGTAGTTTTGAAAAATAACACTCTTGTTCCAGTTTCTATCTCCATTTGGATCTGACATGTTTGGTTCTGAAACTTGGGCGGTGAAACCTGACCATTAGCGACTAACTTTGCACATTGAGCTCTTTACCTGCGCTGCATTTTGAAATTGCTTTTGTACCCGTTTATTATTATCATTTTATTTTTCTGCATTCTGAGGCACTTGCCAGTTTGCTACGCAACGAGACGGCGCCAGCATTTTTTTTAACACGGGAAATCATGTTGTCCAAACGAGACCTAAGCTTGAGTAAATGTTTGCCTTTTACTCCATCTGTTTTATATGTTTTGACTCTTTTTTTAAAAACCTTTTATACTAAAAACATAACAATATTTTTAATATAAAATAAATATACTATTAAAATATATTGGATGTTTGGTTTATGAAACTGGTTTGCTATTATAAATGTTGCTAAGAGTCTGTTTGGTTGGAGGGACTAAAACTTTAGTCCCTTTTAGTCCCTAAAGTCCCAAATAGGAGGGACTAAAAAGGACTTAAGTGTATTAGTCCATTAGTCCCTATGGGAGGAGGTTATTGGGACTATAGCTCCTTTTTACCCACTGCCCCCACGCATGGGTATGGTGCATCTCTCTTTGCATGGTTTTAGAGGTAACATAGTCATTGTACAGTGCAATTAATGACATTTAGTCCCTATATTCAAACAGCCATGGACTAAAGTGTTTAGTCCCACTAAGTTTTTCTATAAATTTAGTCAAACTTAAAAGAAGTTTCATATTATATGAAACAGAATACTTTTTTCTAAAACCAATACCATTTTTTTCACAAACTTACATGAAAAATTTGTGAAGTTTGCATATTATAAGATTGATAAAGTTTGCATCTCTTGACGTCAGATTTTTGTTTGCTACCCTCCTGTCATGCGATGGTTGTCGAGTGTCTTATTTAGAAACAAATTGGATGAAACTTCGCGCGTTGGATGATGTTGGATTGGAAATCTACAATGTTAACAATGTTAGTGATACCAATTTGAAACGCCGAGAAGAACTATTGGAGTTATATGTAATGTTGGAGTTATATGTAATGTTGTGTTGTTGTTGCAGATTTGGAATTGGCATTCCGACCAATATGGACAACCCGTTAAAAACAGATGATATTATTGAGTTCACAACTCGCAGAAACATGTTTTCATCACGTCGTCCTCATTAAATTGATCTCATCGATCTCTATTTTGATGAGCATCGGCAATAGAATTTTGAATGTGTCGACGAGTGATACTCGTTGACTGGATAATTTGGGTATTGGGGTACGTTGGAACGAGGATCTACGTAATACGACATCAAGCAAATAGAAGACAAATATTATACTGGTTCAGGCCCCTTGTCAGGTAATAGCACTAGTCCAGTTTATATGAGATTGATGACAGAAAACCACATAATACAATGGAAGTAGACGAAACTAATGATACCGACGAGATCATAGTCGATGTATTCGACGAGATCTCCCGGCGACTTGGCTTCGCGTACTCCGACTTCGGAAACTATGGTGGGTGTGTTGGAGATGAGATTCGATGCCTTGCACCCCTCCTCGGGGGTCCCTTTTATACCGCGGATCATCTTGATCCCCAAGTAAGACTCGGAGACATCGGATCTTGTACGATATAACAGAAACTCTATTTCTTCCGAGTAGGACTTTGGAAATCACTTGGCTCGTGGAGATATTTTCCATAATTCGTAACAAATTCCACCAATGTATATGGGAATAGTCTGTATACGTGATGATATACCATATCTGCGTATTCCGTAAGTCATAGGATATGAGGTATTCCTTATCCGTAACCTTGACAGTAGCCCCCGACTTCAACTTAAATGAATTCACGTTGTCGCCCGCGACTTCTCCTGTTAGCGCCTTGTCGTGCTCACCTGGTCGATCTCGGTGCAGAACCGTGGAGATGTGGAGCCATCGAGAACGCTAAAGGGAGTCAAACGTTCGAATATGAATTTAAATTGAAGTCTGAACAACCGCCCGCAACGGGCCTCAAGATTTTTCGGCGGCAATATCTCTCCTTGGAATGCGAACCGCTAGGTAGTGCGCCTATTTAAAGGGGTTTTGGGATCCATTTCAAGTCCGTTTGCCAAAAAATCCTCCATCTTCTTAGAAGCCTCGGACCCTTCGTCTCCCACAAAGCCCTAGATTTCTTTGTCTTCCTTCGACGATTCCTTACTAATGGCAGACCTCAACAAGTCTTCATCCGACGCGGCCAGCCTGAAGAACCTTTACACAGAAGGAGCTCTCCCTCCCAATCAAACCATGGTGAGAGAACAAGGAGGTATTGATCCTTCTCCTGCCCTAGGCCGTATGGCAGTGGTAGAGGATTTTGTCCGCTGTGGTTTTTTGCCTCCCCCTTCGGAATTCCTCTTGTTGATCCTAAATTTTTATGGCCTTTCACTCTTGCACCTCAACCCTAATTCCATCACTTCCCTGAGCATCTACGCTCACCTTTGTGAGGCCTACATTGGGGTAGTGCATTTCTTGGATCTTTTTCGATTCTTCACGAACTTCGTTGGATGGAAGCCGGCAGGATCTCGGGGTGTTGTGGGTTCCGCTTACATGATGGCATGAAAGCGAGGTACATACCCTTTCAATGCCATACGTCCTGGACCAAATGTCGATCAAAGTGGTTCTACCTTGAGCTTGAGGAACTTGACTCGGTTCTTGTCGTGCCCGAGGTCCAACCGGATCGCCAAGAGAGCTAGACTTCCAAACCTCCATTGACCCCTTCGCTTGAGGCCTTCGTGAATATTGTCGGCGACCTGCGAGAACAAGGGTTGACCGGGTATAAAGTCCACGGATCTCGTCACGGGGTACTTGTTCTCATGTCGTAGTTTCTGTCTTTCCTTAACCGCTATTCCGTGTTCTCGGTTTTACCTGACTTCGGCTTTTTCTCATGTTTCAGATCTTCTTGCTGATGTCGTGACGCAGCGGGTGAGGGATGTGCTAATCAGCCCCGCCTCAACCGCCGATGAGCTACCCACCCCCCTTCGTGACAAGCCAGCGGCCGACAAGGCGGCTGTTATCAACGTGAGTGAACCGAACGCCTTTCGTCTTTTCATTTTTTAGGGAGACGAAGTGACCTCAATTCCCGCAGGTTCTACCTTTGACGGATGTCATCGGCCCCCTTGTCGATCATCAGACTTCCTCTTCTCTCAGGGAGAAAGTCGTGGAGGAGGTTGCCGCCATCGCCGCTGGACCTGCTGCCGCTAGAGGCAGCGGGCTCAAGAGGAAAAGGTTGGGCTCGTAAGAGCGGCGCCCCTGGATCTCGTCAGAAGTCCAGTGGCTCCGAGGTAGGCTATTCCATCCCTATTTTGCTACCCCATTTATCCTTGCAGGACAATAGGGATGAGATCTTGATTCTCTATCTTACTCAGGATACGGGCAGTCTTTCTCCTCATCCGAAGAGGAGGATAATAAAGAAAGCCGCTGACAAGTAAGTAGAATCCTGGACCTCCATCTGTTTTCATGTTGATGGGTCTTTTGAGTGTATTTCTGATGTCAGCAGGACGGTCTCAGCGATCTCTACGCAGAGTGGGGATGAGGTCGCGACCAGCGCGATTCCCGCCGCAGCTTCTCCTCGCGCGGGTGCTGCGCCTGTCATCGCCGAGTCCGCCCCATCCGCCGCCGTGCCCGTGGCTGCGCCGCCGCCTCCCACTCCGATGGGGCCATTAACCTGGTCACAAAAGATGACCGAGAGCCGCCGCTGTCGACGAGAGATACTCGCTGACCGGATGAGTAGAGTATTGGGGTACGTTGGAACGAGGGTTTACGTAGTACATCAAGCAGACAAAAGACAAGGATTATACTAGTTCAGGCCCCTTATCAGGTAATAGGCCTAGTCCAGTTTATATGGGATTTATGATGATGAGAACAAATTACAAAGAGAGTAGTCGAAACAGGTAGTGATGTGCACTAGGGTTCCCGATCTTTTGAAAGGTTCTGATAAACAACGATTTGGGCGGAGTTGCAACACAAATTGATCCGGCTTCTTGAACACGCACGCTCTTGAGCCCCGCAATCGCAACACCACGTCTCCTCTGGTTATCACCCGTGTCGAAACGCGGATGATGTCGCGTCCGGGAAAATTGCATTTTCCCGAACGCTAGTGTATTAATCCCCGTCCCAGGAAAAGCCGGGGTACACCATACAAACATGATATAAAAGACACATCTTTATTAAATCGATAATATTTACATTATTACAAAGGCACTTAAGGCCTGACAATCAAAAATAAACAGCAGCGGACTAGCGGGCCTACGGCTCCATCTTCACAGGCGCTCAACTGGGGTATAAGCCAAGACTCCACCTAAGACTTCTTCTCCAAAGCTTTTCTTACTGAAGGGGGGAGAAAGATAGAGCAAGAATGAGTACAACCACAGTACTCAGCAAGCCACACCGGCGGATGCACGATTAATGCAAGGGGGTACAAGGGGTAATGATATAGGGGTTAAGTTTTACAGAAAACAGCATTTAAAAGTCACTTAGTTGCCCAAAGCCATTTTAAAAAGACGATCCTAAAGCTACACAGTATTATTAATCAAGGCCGTGAACCCTCACGAACCTGCCTTAACCCAAGGCCTACGATGATTCAGACCGAACTGGCAACCCGACCCTGGGTCCCAGCTCGTCCCAAGCCAACCCAGGCCAACCATTCCACGTTTTAGTTATTAAGCAGGTTTTAAGAATTTAAAACACTAACTTGGGTACATTGCTAGGCTTGCCCATAACCGAGGGCGCGGCTATTCGAATAGATTATACTCTGATCAGAGGTGTACATCTTTACCCACAAGACACATCTTCCTCACGTGTAACCACGTGCCACATACCACCACGGTATACGGACGGAAGACGTGACATAGTTTCCAACCCATCCTAGCCATAGACAAGAGTACCGACCCAACCCCACCTACGGCCGGAACCTCCGGGACAGGTAGGCAGGATTGAGCCCCTAGCAGCAGGACACCAGCCCTGT